GCGTTTTAACGTCTTTTGCGGGAGCAATGCAAAAACGCAGAAAATGCTGTAAATACCAATATTTTTTAGACCAGAGATGCACAAAACACTGCAAATACCAGTGTTTTTGAAAGCAAAGCAAAAAAAACACTGTAAATTACAGCATTTTTGGCAAGTTGATCGCAAAAAATGCTGGTATTTACACTGTTTTTGCAATTTCAAGAAAACGTGGAAGGCACGAAACACTGTAAATAGTGGTGTTTTGGCCACTTTTGGACGCTGAAACGCTGGTATTTACACAGTTTTTTGCCCGTGACGGCGCCAAACCCCTGTAAATTACACCATTTTTTGCACTTTTTGAACCGATTTTTTGCCTTGATGAACGCAAAAAACGCTGGTATTTACGCGTTTCCCAAAAAATCGAAGATCGTGACGTGAACGAAACCCTGTAAATAACAGTGTTTTAGCCACTTTGGGGGACTAAAACTGTGGTATTTACGCGGGTTCTTGCCAGCTGACAGCGCAATATGTTGTAAATTACAGCACTTTGTGCACTGTTTATGTTCAATTTTTAAACGCGCGATGCTTTCACATGTTCTTTGCATTATTTTGCACTCTTCCACAAAAAACAACGTTGCAGATTGAAACTGGACGACAGCGTGACCCGAAAGAAAGCTGGAGGGAGGAGACGCAAAGAAGCTTTTACCCACACACACAGGGGCTTTTACACAGAGAAGTCTTTACACAAAGGAGCTTTTTACATACAGAAGGTTTTACACAGAGAAGTCTTTACTCTAAGGTTCTTTTGCAGACAAGCGTCTAGGAGCTTTTACTCACAGAAGTTTTTACACGAAGAAGTCTTTACACAGAGGGCTTTTTACACACAGACGCGTTTGCACACAGAAGCTTTTACACAGAGAAGCCTTTACACAGAGGAGCGTTTACACACCAAAGAGTTTACACACAGCAAGCTTTTACACACGCAGGGGCTTTTACGCAGAGAAGCCTTTACACAGAGTAGCTTTTTACACACAGAAGGTTTTACACAGAGAAGTCTTTCCTCTGAGGAGCTTTTTCACACAAATGTCTTGGAGCTTTTACACACAAAAGCTGTTACACAAAGAAGTCTTTACACAGAGAGCTTTAACACACAGACGCGTTTACAAACAGAAACTTTTACACAGAGAAGCCTTTACACAGAGAGTTTTTACACACTCGGAAGCTTTTACACACAGAGAAATCTTTACACAGACGTGCTTTCACACAGAGAAGCTTTTACACAAAGAAGTCTTTACACAGAGAATCTTTTACACACGGAAACTTTTACACACAAAAGCTTTTACACAGAGAAGTCTTTGCACAGAGGCGCCTTTACACGAAGTAACAAGTTGAAATCGGCAGCAGTTCTTTAGGAAAAACCCTTCGCAGGAGCTTTCGGGAACTCACTTGCTCCCAAAAAAATCGTCTATTCCAACAAATACGTTCCAAAAAACCTAAGGAATATATTTCTGAAGCAGGTCCTCATTCAGTAACTTTCACGCCCACACTGCGATGAAATGGAGGGCCGAGTGGTCCGGCGGAGCCGACGAGGGGCGTCAGCCCAAAAATTCGGCTCCGCCGGCTCCCCACGAGTGGCTTGCCCTACGAGCGTCCCAGAGCGACTAGAGCTCTATGGTGAGGTGCGCCCCAAGCCGCCGACCCTCCGACGCCGGGCCCCGAAAACCACCAAAAATCCTTCAGGAGGGTGGGGGAGAGCTTTTTGGCCGGAATCCGGGTCGCTCATAAGCGTCTCCAAGAGCAAAAGGCCCCCCCCCCCGATTTTGAGGGTACCTAAAATCGGAAAAAAGTGCCGTTTTGACACATTTTTCGGACGATTTTCAGCTTTTCGAAATGGTCAAAATGCTGTAAATTACAGCATTTTTGCGTTTTAACGTCTTTTGCGGGAGCCATGCAAAAACGCAGAAAATGCTGTAAATACCAATACTTTTTGGACCCAAGATGCACAAAACACTGCAAATACCAGTGTTTTTGAAAGCCAAGCAAAAAAACACTGTAAATTACAGCATTTTTGGCCAGTTGATCGCAAAAAATGCTGGTATTTACACGGTTTTTGCAATTTCAAGAAAACGTGGACGGCACGAAACACTGTAAATAGCGGTGTTTTGGCCACTTTTGGACGCCGAAACGCTGGTATTTACGCATTTTTTTGCCCGTGACGGCACCAAACCCCTGTAAATTACAGCATTTTCTTCCCTTTTTGAACCGATTTTTTGCGTTGATGAACGCAAAAAACGCTGATATTTACGCGTTTTTCAAAAAATCGAAGATCGTGACGTGAACGAAACCCTGTAAATAACCGTGTTTTAGCCACTTTTGGGGACTAAAACTGCGGTATTTACGCGGGTTCTTGCCATCTGACAGCGCAAAATATTGTAAATTACAGCATTCTGTGCCCTGTTTATGTTCAATTTTTTAACCTGCGATGCTTTCATCTGTTCTTTGCATTCTTCCACAAGAAACAATGTTGCAGATTGAAACTGGACGACAGCGTGACCCGAAAGAAAGCTGGAAGGAGTCGCACAGAAGCTTTTACACATACAGGGCTTTTACAGCTTTTACACAGAGAAGTCTTTACACAAAGGAGCTTTTTACATACAGAAGGTTTTACACAGAGAAGTCTTTACTCTAAGGAGCTTTTGCACACAAACGTCTAGGAGCCTTTACACACAGAAGCTGTTACACAAAGAAGTCTTTACACAGAGGGCTTTTTACACACAGACGCGTTTGCACACAGAAGCTTTTACACAGAGAAGCCTTCACAGAGGAGCTTTTACACACAAAAGCATTTACACACAGCAAGCTTTTACACACACAGGGCTTTTACACAGAGAAGTCCTTACACAAAGGAGCTTTTTACACACAGAAGGTTTTACACAGAGAAGTCTTTACTCCAAGGAGCTTTTGCACACAAACGTCTAGGAGCTTTTTCACACAGAACTTTTTACACGAAGAAGGCCTGACAGAGAGAGTTTTTACACACAGACGTGTTTGCACACAGAAGCTTTTACACAGAGAAGCCTTTACACAGAGGAGCTTTTACACACAAAAGCATTTGCACACAGCAAGCTTTTACACACACAGGGGCTTTTACACAGAGAAGTCCTTACACAAAGGAGCTTTTTACACACAGAAGGCTTTACACAGAGAAGTCTTTACTTTAAGGAGCTTTTGCACACAAACGTCTAGGAGCCTTTACACACAGAAGCTGTTACACAAAGAAGTCTTTACACAGAGGGCTTTTTACACACAGACGCGTTTGCACACAGAAGCTTTTACACAGAGAAGCCTTCACACAGAGGGGCTTTTACACACAAAAGCATTTACACACCGCAAGCTTTTACACACACACAGGGGCTTTTACACAGAGAAGTCCTTACACAAAGGAGCTTTTTACACACAGAAGGTTTTACACAGAGAAGTCTTTACTCCAAGGAGCTTTTGCACACAAACGTCTAGGAGCTTTTTCACACAGAACTTTTTACACGAAGAAGGCCTGACAGAGAGAGTTTTTACACACAGACGCGTTTGCACACAGAAGCTTTTACACAGAGAAGCCTTTACACAGAGGAGCTTTTACACACAAAAGCATTTGCACACAGCAAGCTTTTACACACACAGGGGCTTTTACACAGAGAAGTCCTTACACAAAGGAGCTTTTTACACACAGAAGGTTTTACACAGAGAAGTCTTTACTCTAAGGAGCTTTTGCACACAAACGTCTAGGAGCCTTTACACACAGAAGCTGTTACACAAAGAAGTCTTTACACAGAGGGCTTTTTACACACAGACGCGTTTGCACACAGAAGCTTTTACACAGAGAAGCCTTCACACAGAGGGCTTTTACACACAAAAGCATTTACACACAGCAAGCTTTTACACACACAGGGGCTTTTACACAGAGAAGTCCTTACACAAAGGAGCTTTTTACACACAGAAGGCTTTACACAGAGAAGTCTTTACTTTAAGGAGCTTTTGCACACAAACGTCTAGGAGCCTTTACACACAGAAGCTGTTACACAAAGAAGTCTTTACAGAGATATATAGCTTTCACACACAGACGCGTTTACACGCAGAAGCTTTTACACAGAGAAGCCTTTACACTTTACACAGAGAGTTGTTACACACGGAAGCTTTTACACACAGTGAAATCTTTACACAGACGTTTCACACAGAGAAGCTTTCACACACAGAAGCTTTTACACAAAGAAGTCTTTACACAAAGTGGTTTTTACACACAGAAACGTTTACACACAAAAGCTTTTACACAGAGAAGTCTTTGCACAGAGGCACCTTTACACGAAGTAACAAGTTGAAATTGGCAGCAGTTCTTCGGGAAAAACCCTTGGCAGGAGCTTTCGGGAACTCACTTGCTCCCCAAAAAAGCCGTCTATTTCCAACAAAGTTCCTATGCCATGACCTTTTTTCAAAAAAACATAAGGAATATATTTCTGAAGCAGGTCCCCATCCAAAAGCTTTCAAGCCCACACTGCGATGAAATGGAGGGTCGAGAAATCCGGCGGAGCCGACGAGGGGCGTCAGCCCTTAAATATATGTTATTCTATATTTTAGATATGCATGAATGTATACAAAACACGTGCCGCATAGAAACAATGTACAACCCGGGGCGCATCGTCAAAATAAATTGGCCACTCCTTGAGGCGCTGGTCACCTACTTGGATGGGCACCTGGCAAAATCCCAGCTGTTTAGGTACAAAAATATAATAAAATATATACAGTACATGATCCCGTCCCCTTAATAATAAACACCCCCCAGAAACCATGGTTTAGTAGAAGAATTCCACATATTTGGGACCATTTAGGAAGTGTTTAATATTGGGGGGATGAGATTACTTAGAATACATGGAATATTCTAACATCTCCAGAGTTGTATGGTGCTTAGTCACACTTTCAAGCAAGTGGGTCCTACGTTTTAATCCCCCGTCTCACAGTCGACAAGGTGCTACCAGCCTGGTCTCCAAAGAGCCAGTGTTGCTGCGATTGTCCAGTGCTGGGAGAGAGGTTCCCTTTCTGAAAGTTCGCATCGGCCTGTGGTATAGCATGGAGCATTTGCCGCAGGACCTGGGAACCTGGTCATCTCTGCTGGGGGCTCAATCCACATGTGTTTGGAGGAAAAAAAAAAAACGTGTTTGCCATCCCCAGTTGGCTGAACTCCTGTTGAATTTGCCAAGAAACCCAAGCGCGGAAGAGCTCGGCACCCATTTCACCACTGGAATCCTGGACGGAACCATATCCAGCATAGAAAATCACAGCAAGATACTATCAAAGTGTGCTCAAAATCCAGGTCAAAAAAATATTGTTATCCTGAAACCAAGGCCTGGTCAGGTCAAAATCCGATCAGTACACTCCGATCAAACTAGTTGGTCTTTGTGGATGTTTATCCCCAAACATAGATGGTATCAATGATGTATCGAAATGAACCCTCCCATGCGATATCCGATATCCCCATGTTTGTGGGTCTAATCCTTATATTGGTCTGTTTAAACTTGCAGTAACAATTTTTCAAAAAAAAATGTCCGTTGCATTCATTACTGTCCATGTTTCTTCGCATCAAACTCGCTCATAGAATACTAGACTACAGTTTTTCCGAAATATGAAAATTTTAAACAAAACCATCCCATTTTTTTCGATAACATGGTATTTTTTGGTGGACCATGGCCAACCATGGCCAACCATGGCCAACCATCCCGACTGCAATAGCCCCAAGACACCGAGGGCGACTCATCCACTGAGTCGAGATCAACGTAATGGTCATCTGCTTCTGAGCCTCGAAAATGGTGAACACGTGATGAAAACGTGACTGGAAAATCCCTTCACAACCGGGAAAATATGAGAAACATCTAAAGGAAAATCTATAAGAAAATCAGAAAAACCATCACTTTTATCGTTTTTATCGGGCTGCACGTCGACTCGGCAGAACGGAGGCGACCTGCAGTCCGGCATGTTACCAAACTTGGATTGCACTTTGTGCAATGGTCATGACTTCTCGGCGTCCTGCCGTTGGGAGCCTGTTCAAGACTCTACCACCCCGCTTTGCAGGGTATTGCAAATGGCGCTCAAGCCATGCATCAATTACGTCCAGTCGGGCATCAGGGAAAGTACAATAGAGGCATGAGGCGTGCAAGAGCAACATCAAACTGTCAGGCCTTGTGAATCTTGTTTGGAATGGCATTCCCCACCACATGCGTCCACCAGCTGCATCGCTTCTTGAAACTAACACCAAGCAGTGAAATCTGTGGCCGATCCATTGGATCCTCCCATGAAGTGAGGTGAAGCGGGTCACTGTCGCCCGTGCTTTGCATGAAGTCGATGTAGAGTTGGTAGAAAGACATCCATCTCGAATTTGCAGCATCGGACTTGTGAAAAACATCAAAGAACCAGTTACAAATTGAGGTGACAACCCGCAGCACAGTCAATCAAGTCCCGAGGGCAACCTGCAACCTCCGGAATCCCCGGCCAAGGGGCGGGGCAGGCTGCAGCACTCTGGGAGATTTCAGGCTCCATCTCAGCTTCTGTACCGGCAGCCTGGTCAGCATGGTGCTGGTATAGAACTGCCCGACTAATGGAAAGCAGGGTGTGCTGGATGTGATGAGCTCGTCTTGCTTCTTCCTCAATCTGCTGTTTGAACGTTGTGTGGGCTTTCCAAAAGGCAGGACTGCGCTGCGTATTTGCAAGCTGCCACACGGCGGGGGTGCCGCAAAGGAGCCCCTTCAGTCCATTGACAACCCCTTGACAGTCGCACCAGAGGCGCACAGGGCAACGGGCCCGTTGTGCAAAACGAATGGCTTCACAGACTCCAGTGAGTTCGGCCCTGTAGGCAGTTTGGGCAAGGCTCAACATGACCCGCAGCTATCACATGGGACTTCTGTTGCGCAAGGGGCGACCCACTGGAGGTTGCCTGGACAACTGCCCAAGAGGCAAGGCTGTATTCATGTTTTGGCCAAAGGCATGACCCATCTGTGAAAAGGTCTATCCATTGGTCAACAGTTGCAAGCGGTGTTGCAAAGCTAGTGCAAGGGGCTGGCTGGCACAAAACAATGTGCCATTCGATCCAGGATTCCGGTTGGAGTGTCCATCCATACCAGGTCAAGGTTTCGGGCAAGTGAGGAATGAGGGACCAAAGGTCAGGTGGCAAGCAAGTGCGATGGCTGGCAAAAGCATCACACTGCCAAAACCGATGGTAACGGCTGTCAGAACATCCACAAAAAAGCACAGCTCCGCAACATCCTCCATCCAATATTTGGTTGCCCTGGCATTGACCCTACCTATATCACGCAACCCAGGGCGATGTCCAACAGCAGCACCAACAAGCCTCTGCCAGGCCTGTTCAGCTCTCCAAGTGATGTCAGCAAGATTGTTGGCAAAAAGGCAGAACCTACCAAACTGATCCCAAACATGTCCATTGGCATCAAAACACCAACTCAACGACTGGAGGTGCAGAAGCAAGGTCCCTGTCAGACCAACATTGTCAGGCCAGACATCAGACTGAGCAAAACGTGCAAGTGTGGACAGGGTCTCCTCAGGTTGACCACAATCACGGATGCATCGAATGCTCTGGATGATACACCAGAGGGCACGGACTTTGGCTGGCAGACAGGCGGAAGCTGTCCCAAAGCTCGTGTAGGGTCTGGGCTCTATGTTGCAAGGTGGCGTTGGAATGTCGACCAGACAAGCCGAGGTGGGCCCCAAGCGTTCTGCACTGCCTCTCAACGCGCATTCCAAGGTCTCGCAAGTGTTTGCGGCCTTGATTCGTGAGACTCCAAACAAAAGTTTTCTTTGCATCCAACTGTAGGTCAATCATGTCACAAAACTTTTGCAGTTGGGACATGGCATGTTGCACATCAACATGGTGTCGTACCAACAGCTGCCAGTCATGGACAAAACTGACTGGCTGGATCGGCACTTGCTGGGCTTCAAACCACTTGTGGAAAAGGCAGTTGACAGCCATCATGGCTATAATGCTCATGCCATCGCCTTCAGCATAACCTGTGCTACTCGGTGTCGGTCCTGACAGGCTAAACCGAATCTGGAAATGTCTTTGCGCAGCATAGACAGCCCCATGCCACGCTCTGATGACAGGGCCAGGGACGCCCATGAGGCCAACTGTGGTTTCAACAACCCTCCGTGGAAGGGTGTTGAAGGCTTTGACAATGTCAGCCATGATGCCTGAACAGGGTTCTCCAGCATGCTGTGCCGTCTCAATATGCCACATCAGTTGGGTCCAAAGTTGGGCTGGGAAACAGCCTTTTCGATTACCAAAAAGACCTGCAGGCAAAATGCAGTCAAGATCAGCCAAAAGGCTCCGACACTGAATGGACGTCCACAAACGATAGCACAGGCCAAAAACTGTGATAGGCCTAAAATCGTCAGGTGTCATTGGTGCAGAGTGCTTGGCGACATTGGCAATACGGCCTGCAATCATTTGGCTTGGCCACTCCCCAGTCTCAGTAGCGTGTTTGTAGAACAGGCATATGTTAGTGTGCAAGGACGCAGGCGCAGCTTTGAGGTCCAGGATACTTACCCCATCAAGGCCCTTGGGAAGTTCTACGGCACTTATGCCTGATTTCTTTGCCCAACAAACGTTGGTCGACTTCAACTAACTTGCAAGGGGCAGGCCGGACGACATGTGCTGCAAAGGCCAGGATGTCATCCCATTGGCTGTGGGGAACTTTGTCGTGGCGACACCACCGCTGTTTCCAAGCGTGCTGGAACGCCTGAAACAACTCATCCAAATCCCCTGTGAACTGTGTTTGTGCGCAGGTTTGCCCAACTGCGACACCTTCAAGGGTATCAACCCAGATCCAGCTGTCCTCATGATGAATGATCTCAATCCGCACAGCACCGCAATAAACAGGCTTCTGTAGGTCCCAGCAAGGGGCCCGGCTGAGCTGCAAACACAGCTGGCTGTCATCAATGGCAACAACTTTGGCTTGTTCTGGGCGGATGAGCAGGTCAACATTGTCAGGACCAGCCTGCTTGATATCTTGGAAAATGAGAACTGGAGACTTCTGACGTCGGGCTTTGGCATATGCCCGGCTGTTGGATTTCAGGGTCCGCTCCAGCGAACGGAGTGCAAGGACACAGGTGTCGTAAATGCATATGGCAACATCAAACTGGGGTTGTGCTAATGGAAAAACACCTGGCGCTCCAGGGGCACGATGATCAAGGGCAGCCCACCAAGCAGGGAAGGAAGGTTCAAAACCTTTGGCACGTACTATTGAACCCCAGGCTTGTGCAGCATGGCCAGGGTCTTTTGCCTGCCTAGCAGCCTGGGCAAATCTACAAAAGGCCTGGAGCCTACGTGTTTGACGGTACCACAGGGCATGCTGCAAGGAAGTCCCAAAGAACTGCGGCAAAATGTCACCTTCTCGGGCCGCACGCAAGGGAGCGCGGGCCTGCCCAAATGTCTTGCGAGGTGCCAAAGTAGTGGCACGTCCAAGGCAGGCAGTTTTGAGAGGCTTGGCCGAGGCTCCAAGGGCTCGGTGTTCAGCATGTCGCCACATTTCAGTGCACTTCGCCATACATAGCGAGGAACACTTCGCACTCCACCATGGAAAACTCCAGAAATGACCGCATGATCGGGCCATACTGTTTGGTCAACACGAACCTCAGTCAGCAATGCTTGCAATTCGGGGCTGATGTAGCAGAAGTCGACTCTGGTGGAGCACTTGCATGTCATTTGCATTTCAATACCCCATCTCTCAAAAGCAAGTGTCTGCAAGTCCTTGAAGCCATGCATCTCAAGTATTTGGAAGGACGGAAGGTCAAACTCAGCATTGTTGAAATCCCCAGCAATGACTCGTAATCCAGAGGACAGGACACAGATTTGTGTGGCAACCTCACTCAAAAGACGGTCATTATTGGCCAATTGGTCTGGGTGCCAGGTGCCTGCAGATTCACCGTAGATGGTCCCCATCGTAATCCACAAATCATTGAGGAACGTGGCGGTAATGAGGGCTCTACTAGACAGTCGAACTTCATCAGACAAGGCCGCAGGCATGGCTTTTGTGGGTGTTTGGCAATGGCGGCAACCCCTTTCCAACCACCGGAGAGTTGGGATCGCAACCGCAATGGCACCGGGGCTCCAGCCACACAATGGCTAAACTTGGATTTGGACATTCGCAAACTTTTGCGGAACAATGGCAGGGACCTGTCGCTCACTGACAGCCCACAAATCAGCATACGACAGTGACTCATTGATGACCTGTGCCTTACCTGTCAATCCACTGGGATTGAAGCACCCGATGCAAAAGTCTGCTTCTGCCTTGGCAGGTCGAGGGTGATTGGCCTCACCAAAGCGGAAACCGAGAAGAACAAAAATGAAAAGGATATGGATGGACTTCGGCTTGAGAGGTCCTCCATAAATCTGTACACGTTTGCACTGAAAAAAGAGCCAAAAGGCTGAGCAAAGGCAAAAAATGGGGCCAAGCAACCACAGAACAAAGCAGATAAAAGTCTGCAACCAAAACATGGCTGCCGCCCCACACCGTCACTCATGATCTTCCCTGCTGCGCTTGGACATCAGGGCCCGAATTTGATTCATTTGCGCCAAGAGGGCAGCAATGTTCTGCTGTTGCGCCTCCATGTGTCCATGCAACTGTTGGCCATGCGCTGCCATTTGGTGTTGCATGGTGGCGAGCTGGGAAGTCTGAGCTGCGGCTTGCTCCTGCAGTTGAGTTTCCATTTGGGCATTTTTCTGCATGATGCTTTGCATCTGATGTTCCAACATGAGCATTCTGTCCGGGAGATCATCACGCTCCATTGGCA